AGGGCCGCGGATGTGTGCGAAAGCGTTCCCGTGGCCCTGCCAATATGCGACGATGGTGGAACACCATGGGGTTTTAGTCGGTGCGAGTCCGACATAACCCGCCCATGCCCCCGCGAGGCGGGTTATGTCGAACTCGAAAAAAAAAAGGACCCCACGGACCGATAGTCGCTACAGCAAATGGTACAAATATGCAGTCATCTCTCAGATACTCATATTTGCGCCACTTTACTTAGTTTCAGGTGCCTCTGATGCCGCCCTGTATCTAGCAACTCACACTACCACCACCACCATATTTATGTAATTAGCCTTTAGTGAAATTTCATTTTATGCGCTATTGAATAATTCTAATTAGGATTAAGTTCGATAATACAAATATTGATTTATTCAAAAGTGTTAAATACTAATATTTAGACGGCTAAATTTAATCATATATGCCTGAACACGTCAAATCATTGAATAATGTATACTTTAGGACCACAATTTTGAATAACGTTTCTTGAAATTACCAGAAACTTTAGTAAATAGTATTATGTAAAGCGTACGTACTTTACATAGAAGCTATATAATTTCGGTTTTTTATATTTACCAGAACACTACACGTAGTAAGGATAAACTTTAATTATATTTATTTTTAAAACAGGAGTTAATTTCGTAGATTTTTAATTGTTACTAATGACGTAATAGAGAAGCCAGATGAATTTGAAATGAGGGTCAATTAATTCCATGAAAAAATAACATTCCTTATTATTAAGACTTGTAAATAGCTAAATAAGATTTACAATCTGGAAACGGTTACTAAGCTCATAATATTTTTTTATATACCGATTGACGGCGTTTTAAGATAATTGTGTCATTTAATTACGCCTCCTGGGCACTGAATGTCAAATAAGCCCACTATCGGTTAATCAAAATTAATCTGAAAGATAAGAGAATAAATATTTCGAAACGACGGGTCTTACGTAAACTAATGCAAGTGCAAAAACACAACTTTACAGAGAGCGGTTTAAACATTCAAGAACTTGTAACTTTTATATAAATTGATAGAAATTATTATAAATTTGAAATACCTGATAAATTTGAATGACCTGAATATTATAGGAACAACAAGTACTATTTCTACAAGAGCAAGTGAATATATATACAAACGGTACACAAGTTAAATTTAATTGTAATTTTGCTTAGCTTAGCTTAGCTAAATAGTGTTTGTTTTACTGCGCTTTTTTCTAACCAATATAAAATTAATTTACATCTCGAACATTTTATTCCCTTTAATTATTATCGCTGTTACATAAGATTAAAAAAAATCTTATGAACACATGTAATTTTAACAAATTAAACACGTAAGCTAAAATGAATCGTAATTATAACAGTTTAGAGAGCTCCACATTGCGTCGCCGCGTCACGCATATTGATGTAAGGATAACTTGGACTGGCGTAGCACGTGGAACGCTACTGTCTATAGTGGCGCAAGTAACTTGCATCAGTGTACAAGTTTATATCTTCTAAATTATTTGATATTTTACCACAAATTTTACAGGAAACTAGTAACTTGAGTTATTTTAAGGCGTTTGATGTAAAAAAAAACGATTTTTTGCCAATTCGCGGTATGCACCAGTTTACGTAGGACCCGTCGAAAAGTAACTCAATAAATACAAATCAATAGATGAGCGCCCTAGATGAATGAGGAATTTAGTGCAGCGATTGGATAAACAAAGGGGCAAATGTATATTTTTTTTAAAATTGAAATACGAGCTAATTCTCCAGATGCTAAATGGCAATATGGAACGTGCCTAAAGAAACTAGATATTGATATATTTTTTAGGTAAATCCAAATTCAATCGAGAGGTCAATCGACGGATTCAACTCGGCTGGGCAGGGTTCGGGAAATTACGACACATCTTCTCGTCAGGTATACCTCACAACTTGAAAACGAGACTGTACAACCAGTGCGTATTTCCAGTGATGACTTATGGAACTGAGACGTGGTGTTTTACTGCTGGCCGTATGAGGAAGCTCAAGGTCGCTCAGCAAGCTATGGAGAGGGCTATGATCGGGGTTTATCTATGTGATAAACTTAGAAATAAGAATATCCGCAGTAGAACCAGAGTTACTGACATAGCCCAAAGGATTAGTAAGCTGAAGTGGCAATGGGCCAGCCATATAGCTCGAAGAACCCACAACCGATGGGTATGAGAAGAGAGGGCGACCCTCCACTAGATGGAATGACGACCTGGTAAGACATGCACGAAGTCGATGGATGCAGGTGGCTCAGGACCGTGCTTTGTGGCATTCCTTGGGGGAGGCCTATGTTCAGCAGTGGACTTGTGAAGGTCTGTAATGATGATGATGATGATGATGAGCTTCATCAGGGACACTTGGGACACTGGTCAGCATATTCAGACAAGGTCCTTAAATTTGTAGAACGTGAACGATCCCCAGCTCGAATCTCAGCGGCATGAATTAATTTAAGGAGTTCATTTTCTACACATATTTGGTCAGCAGTAAAGGAAAACTTCGTGAATCTTCATGCCCTAGAAATTGATAGAAAAAATATTCCGAAAATATGGGATGGCCGCTTTCGGCTCGCTAGCAGATGAACCAACGCGATTATTTGTAACTTGAATTACCTTGTTTTGTATATAGTAAAGTAAGTAGAACAGATCCATGGCGCAGTGGTTTAGGATTTAGTTGAGGTGCCGAGAACTGCTGGTTCAAACCCCTCACGAAGCAAGCGTGGCCTACAAATAATTGTTTTGGGTTCAGATAAAAACTGTTTGTTAACTGTCTCTACAATACAAGAGATAACTCCTATTGCAAGAGATATGAACTTATAGTATTCGAAAGCTGTGCCCTAGATTTGCACCAAAAAGAAAATCAAGAGTTTATATATATATGTATATATATATATATATATATATATATATATATATATATATATATGTGATGTATAATTGTACTTTACCTAGCATTTTGATTAAGTTCGTGGCTGTATAAGTTAAGGTCAATTAGCCTTTCCTGCTCCTAGCGTGGTTGGGTTTTGACCACAGGCGATACTAGTACAAAATTAAAGTTTTAAAGACACCAGTGGGACTAGTCAAAGTAATTTTCTACGATATTTAACGCTATAGGCAACTACAGTACAATAAAATACAATACTCTTTATTGCACAACAAGAAAAAAAATACAAATATTTTGAAGAAAAGAAAAGAAAAGCCAGGCTTATCGTTACTTAGAAATTTCTTCCAGACAACCCAAAAAAGAATTCACAAAAATAGGAGAATGATTAACGCAATCAAAACTATAAAAATGAGTGAAATTGTGACTTATGTTTAAGGTGTGTCAATCTCATCATCTTATAGTTTTTCGTAGATTTAACGATCGTAGAACGTCGATGTAATACATCTTGCAGTTAATATAAATACGCCAGTATAAATCTTGCAGATAATATTTTAAGTAAGTCGTTAATTAAAACCCATTTTGGACATGAGGACTTATTAAGCTTTATTGTATCTATTTGAACGTAGGTGTACTAAGTTCAATTTGTAGTAAATCAAAATTTGTCTCACCACCATTGCTCCATTTATTTGCTATAATTATTCAATTTGATTTATTATAATTAATAGTTGTCGTTGTATTACGATACCATTAGATATGAAAATTATGTATTAGTATATGTATAAGGCGCATGTACAATATGTATGTATTTTTATTTATTTATATATTGTATTTTCACGTCATTTATATGTGCGCCTTTTTTTTGTACCTAATTATTTTTACCTCATTACTTTAAGCTTTACTAGTAGAAAATACATTATGCATTCCACCTGTAAACACCATTCTGTGTATGCGTAAATAAAAAAATAAGATGTATTGATGTTTTTTTTTTTTGTAATTTAGTTTTTCAGCCACTTTCGGATATATCAGAATAATCTTAAAATTTGGAGACGTATTAAGGAATCAATCACAATTCAATGATTTCAGAATATATTCTCAAGATTATCGCAGTTCATGATCATGCGTGTTGTTTTTTTAACATTTATATGTCGCATCATGGGTGGCCGAGATGCGAAGCATCCGGGTTTTCTTCACGCTCCGACATGATTTTATGTGAATGTGGGCACACCAACGAAAGATGATTTAAATCAAAATAACTTTATTTGGACTAATGGTTGTACACGAGAAACAAACACGTGCGTCGGTAGCGAGCGTCCGCTCCGGCTGTCCGAACTCTACTGCCTCAACACTCCGTCCCTTCACTAGCCCTCGCTGCATCCCTTCTACCGACGATCGTGTCCAAGCGGTAGGGCGCGCTTGCGTTTCCGGTGACGATATTATTGATTCGTAAAGCTAATTGTTAGATGGCGCTGCTTGTAGCACTATGGCGCCATCAATCCACGACACGGCCATCCCTGACTAGCACCTGTCCTCGGGTGCAGTGCCTGTGGACAAAATATGCTCAGAGAATAACTTAGCTCGGCTATCCTGCCAATAAAACGAGGTTGATTCCAGATGGTAATTTATTTCTCCTAAATGTAAGTACAATAATCAACTACCATAATTGACAAAGCCCTATTATTAGGGCTTCTTACACAGTGCTTCCTGCACTACATGATTTATTGTGAAAGGTCCGATCAACAAGTTCCAACACAGCAATTCCAAGAATTTTGTTACTCTTTACCATAATTCATAAGCAATGAATACTCAACTCGTGAAACTTTCATTGAAATCTATGCACCAACACAGGCCAGAATCGCACCAACGGTTCTTTACATATCTGCCGCCACATACGCCACGACACATGAGAGGCTCTGTGCACCAACACAGGCCAGAACCGCACCAACGATTCTCTACACATCTGCCGCCAAATATGCTACAACACATGAGGGGCTCTGTGTACCAACACAGACAGAAATCGCACCAACGATTTCCTACAGACCCATCGCCACATGTTACTCATGAGGTGCGGTCTAAAGTTTCGAGTATGAGTATACATGCCATTCTTAATTAGATTTGGTTTCACTATCACTGTCATCAACTATGACGTCTAATTCTCGAGGAACTTGGTGATCGGGGACCTTCCTCACACGATCATGGGGGTATTTGTAGGTTCGCTTAGAGTCGAGCGCTTTTAGTAGGTATCTATCCCCATCTAACACATCGATAATCTTAAAAGGACCTTTAAACTTGGGATCTAATTTCGTTTGATTCCTCTCCTCATTTTCAATTAAAACGTAATCATTGATAGCTAATTTACAAACCCGAGCCTTATTTCGGTCAAATCGATTTTTATCATAATTGGCATTTTTTTTGATATTCTGTGTCGCGTGCTCTCTGATCTCATCCAAGTTAACTTCAGTCACATCATCATCATCGGCGGTCACTAAACTAAGCGGTCGTGCTACCCTTCCTATCATCAACTCTAGAGGGCTATATTTAGTCACCCTATTAACAGTAGAGTTCATAGCCAGCTGAACCTCTCCTAATGCGTCCTGCCAAGAGCGGTCACGACTAGCCTCTACCGTTGTTAACATACTCTTAAGCGTACTCATTACCCTCTTGACCTGACCATTTGCACGACTGCCTCCAGCAGCTATCAAGTGCAACTCTATGTTATTAGAAGTGCAGAAACTAGAAAAATCTTTGCTAGCGAAACAACGACCCTGATCTTCTATTATGCGTTTTCTTCCATCCTAAGTGCATGACCGACTCATGGATGTTATTAATCACAGACCACCTAAGCGATCTAGGTACAATAGGCAGCCATCGAGTGCGACCGTTACGCTGAATTTGGCGATGTAGAATGTTCTTACGAACTTCGTAGGTTTTGCGAGTTTCCTCAGGAAAAACTTCGTTACGAAGATCAGAAACGATCTTACTAATCTCTTCGTCCTTTTCCTGTTCAGCTTGCAACCAGTTACTAGAAAGCTCAGCTAAATCAATACGGTTTTGTTCCACACGAGTGAAAGCCACTTTGGGCTTAGGGAGAGGATTTCTAGACAGGAAGTCTACATGGCTCATCCTACTGCCTTCACGATGGATGATATCAAACTCAAATGACTGCATGTAGGCCCACCAACGATGAACTCGTGGAGACAAGTCAGTTTTGCTTTTAGAAGCTTTAACAGAACTGCAGTCTGTCACAACGGTAAACTTACGACCTAGCAAATAATGTCGAAAATGCTTTATGGCATTGAACACAGCTAACGTTTCTAACTCAAATGAATGAAACTTTGATTCGGCTGGGGAGGTACGACGACTGTAATAAGCAACCACATGTTGTATCCCATTAATCTTTTGAATAAAAATAGCACCATATCCTTCAGCACTAGCATCGGTGTGTAACTCTATTGGATGTGCAGGATCAAATATCGTTAGAATAGGCTTACTGGTTAAATAAGAAATAATTTTCTAACGAACAGCCTCATGGCTAGGTTCCCACTCAATGGACCTGTTCTTGCCACTCGTTAGACGAAATAGAGGAGCCATCGTTTTTGAGAACTGTGGCACAAATTGTCTGAAATAAGTGGCCAGCCCTATGAACTGTCTTAGCTGAGTGAAGGTTTTAGGCGGAGGAAGTCTGGACAAAGCTGCAATTTTATTTGAGTTGGGACTGATTTGGCCGTTCTCAACAACAAAGCCTAAATATTCTACCCATCGCTTAAGAAAGGAACACTTAGCAAGATTTAGGGAGAAACCAGCTTTTGTTAATTTATTTATCACAGTGCGAAGACGAAACAAATTCTCCTTTACAGACGATCCTATCACTAAAATGTCATCGACCGAACGGCATAGTCAAATATTCCCACTGACCATCAGATGTGACGAATGCAGTGCGCTCTATCGATTCAGGCTGCACTGGAATCTGTTGATAGCCTGACAACATATCGAGACACGTGAACCATGTAACACCACCTAACCTGGATACAAGGTCCTCTGTCAACGGCAATGGAAACCTATCCGATACAGTGTTGTCGTTCAGTTCCCTGTAGTCGACACACATGCGATCTGAACCATCTTTCTTTTTGACAAGCAACACTGGACTAGAAAAAGGTGAACAACTTGGCCTAATAATACCTGCTTCCTCTAGTTCACGAACTTTAGCAGTAACAACTTCACGTTCATTTGCACTAAGCCTATAAGGGCGACGTTTAACCGTTCGACTAGGATCTATAAGCCTAATTTGCAACTGTCCTGTTGTAACACGGGATTTAGGTACACCACTAGAAAACGAAGATGAATATTCTGACAAAAGATCCATTAATCGAGAACGAAATTCTGGCGGAACGTCTGTGTTAACTTTATTTGAATCAATTTGATAGTTAGTATACGTCTTGGGCTTATTTGAAGCATCACATAATCTCACAACCATATCACGACACAAAACAACGCTATCAGATGTCATACTAACGTTGAATCCCTGATCTAAAATCTCGCGGCCGATTAAGATATCATTTTTAAGACAACTATTCGGTACAACATGAAATAATATCTCTAATCGTAAATCGTTAATTATAACTTCAGATAAAATTCGTAGGGTACTTTGCACACTAACGTGACCGATTCCGGTTAAATTTACAATATTATTTACTCGCTTTCCACTAAACTTTGACGCTACACAATCTTTGATCAGAGAGAATTCGGCACCAGAATCGTAGTAAAATGGGTATGACTCACCAGCATTCATCAGCACACCGCTGGGATTGCTGACATAACAAACGTCGACACGTCGCTCACTGGTCGCCGCTGTTGCAGGCGCTGCCCCAGGACTGCTCGATCCACCCGGCGCGCTGGTGCCCACACTATTGCTTCGTGGACATTTTACTGCAAAATATCCGGTGTTGCCGCATCGAAAGCAGATGATATCCAAACGCTGTTTTGGTCCTGAAGAACTTGACGCCGAGGTGGTGGTATTGGCTGTTTTGCCTTTCACCTCATTTCTTGATCGACAGTCAGATGCTCGATGACCTAGTTTACCATAGTTGTGACACTTCAGTATTGTCGACTGAAACTTGGATCGCTTGAACTCTGGAACGGCGTCGGTCGAGTTAGCCGTTGAAGCTTTCCTTTTCAAAAATGAGAGCGCTTGAAGTTTACACTGCAACTTGTTCCTGTTGTCGACTTCGGTAGTAAACGCCAGCCTCTAAATACGCCCATCAAATTGTGCCATGTGAGCAAGCACCGTAGATATGGCAATCTGCTCAGTACTCATGTTTTGCCAGCGTGATGTGAGTGTTAAAAGCAATCGGGCGGCGTAGGCGGCATAACATTCACCTTCCTTAGACTTGCCACTCATCATTTTGACAAGAGTAGCGGCTGGTGTGTCCACACAATCGTACCGGGATAAAAACAGGCTTTTGAAGTCACACCATGTCATCCCCGCAAATGACACTTGCGCCAGCCAACGTGAAGCACTACCTTTCAAAGCCTTGCTTAGGGTAATTATTAGAGCACTTCCCTGAAGCGGTACCTTCGATAGGCACAGATCCGCTGTAGTACACCAGGCACGTGCGTCTACATCCGACTTATCAGGGTCAAATTCAGGCAGAGAAATATGCTTGGTACCTGCCGGGCCCTTGATGGCTTCTATCAAGGACATCATATTCTGGTTTTGAGCAGCCAGCAGCGCCAGAAGCATGTTCTCGTCGCACCGTGACGACATCGCTCCAGTCTCCGTGTTTTTTTCAACTCGGGTGTATCCCACTTCTGATGTCGCATCATGGGTGGCCGAGATGCGAAGCATCGGGTTTTCATCACGCTCCGACGTAATTTTATGTGAATGTGGGCACACCAACGAAAGATGATTTAAATCAAAATAACTTTATTTGGACTAATGGTTGTACACGAGAAACAAACACGTGCGTCGGTAGCGAGCGTCCGCTCCGGCTGTCCGAACTCTACTGCCTCAACACTCCGTCCCTTCACTAGCCCTCGCTGCATCCCTTCTACCGACGATCGTGTCCAAGCGGAAGGGCGCGCTTGCGTTTCCGGTGACGATATTATTGATTCGTAAAGCTAATTGTTAGATGGCGCTGCTTGTAGCACTATGGCGCCATCAATCCACGACAAATATATATTTAAGAAAAAGAAGTATAATGCGTCAATATAGCAAAAGAGATATTTATAATTGTCGTATTTTGACGACAATACTCATGCGCCAGGCAGAAGATATTTTCTGCCGACTTTCAAAAAGGAGACGGTACTCAATTCGACTGTATGTTTTTTTGTGTGTGTTACCTCATAACTTTTACTGGTTGAACCGATTTCGGCGATTCTTTTTTTATTTGAGAGCTGATACTTCTCGGGTGGTCCTATATGAATTTGATTAAAGTCAGATTAATAGTTATTGAGTTATTCTTAATAACTTGTATTAAAGTCGGCTTTACAAAATTTTAAATTTTAAATTATAGAAACACAAGTGGACGCGCAGATACAGAGGCACGGTATATATGTGCCCACTGTAACGTGGTTTGCGAGGACGATGAGAACACACACAGACCTGATTACACATGAAATATTTGCACATACTTCAAATCTTGTGAACATGTTCAGGATTGTCCCCGCTATTACATAATATTTGATAAACCATGAATCCTCGCAAGAGAACACCGATTCCTAAGAAGGATGATACGTGGGGGATTTATCCTAAAAAAATTAAGAAAATTAAATCCAAGCCCAAACATAACATATGATTAAAAGCTGAAGGTAGCCCCCTGGTTATATTTAACATCACACATAAAGCACCCGAAACATCGGGAATTAAAAAAAAAACTCAATAAGCGTAATAGAAAACGATGAAATCTGTAAAATTAGTTTTACTCTATGTGTAGTGTTCGCGTAAATATATTTTTAATATGTTGAAGAGATGGTTCAAGTTAAAAATATAACAATATTATCGCCAATGGTGACATGCAACGTTCCTGTGATGTGTAAAATGGTACCCAAGTTTGCGTTGCTTTGAACTTGTAGAACTCGTGTTATTGGAACATACTGCCATATGAGGCGATCGTTAAAATGTAATTAAACATAAGAACGTATAGAAATTTGTAATGAATTCGTGAAAGTAATGATAATTGCGGGGGTGAGAATTACAAAGTAGGAAACTTTCTCCCTCTAATGATCCTACTAATAATGAGTTTAATTTTAGGAACGAACTAATATTTAATAGAATTTAATTGAAATGAAATATAATAAACCAACGAACAAAATACAACCTAGTAAGTAATAAGTAGTATAATAATATCAGCTACATCACGAGGATGTCAGTAGAGGCGGCAGAGATAAACTGAAACAAAACATGGGCAGCATTAACTTCCTGCCGAGCGTAGCAACAATGGCGTAACCCAACCTATGAGGCACTCTATTTAGGAGGTTTATGTTCACCATTGGATTTTTCTAAGCTGAAATTAATGGATGGAAATAAAATAAAATTAAATACCTTTATACAAAATATTATATTATAAGCAGAACTCACCGTCTGAGTGGGTGAACTATACACTGAACCCCTAGTGCATAAGTGCAGAGTCATAAAAATGATTAATATCATTTTTGC